AAGACACGACAGCGAGTCCTTTCCCAAGGAACCATGACCTTCTCTGCCCATACATGGACACTCAGGAAATCCCCCACTGAACCACTGCCGGACATTCTGGCACGCAGCAAAAAACAGACGGGCGTGGACTCGTATCCACAACTGCCCTTGCCAGTTTCCAAACAGAGCGCAAGTGAATCAGTTTCATCAGGGCAGCGGTGTCTATATATCAGGTGTGACTGGTAGCGGATCTAGGGAACAACCAGTGCAAACATGACTGGCATGCAATCGGCAAATTGTCAATTTCTTGCTGGACGTCATGTTTCGCTTCGTTTGAACAAGACTATTATGCCGGATTGACCGGTGTGAGCTGTCACTGAGACGTACATCGCCTGTGTACTGCTCAAGGGATACCCTGGGAACACGAACTGACGCAGGGCGTTCCTTTTATCCCCTTTCAGAACGAGCCCTCCGCTGCAGTGTCTGCTCTATTGCGAGGGGACCTAATGATTTTTGTGCTTGTCCCTTTGGTGTCCCTTCAAACCAACCTCATCAAAGAGTACCCGTAGTAAAAACACCGAACAGCTCAAACGCATTGGCGGTCGGTGTGCGTGCTTTGACCTCCCGAAATGGTGATGAGGACGGAGCCCAGATTTGCGCTTTGCCTCCAAGAGCGTACGGCACGCAAGCCAACCATTTGGATTGGCTTTGGATTTGGATAGGCCGTTTTAAGGAGCAGTTGGGGGCGACAGAAGATATTCTTATGATTTTCTCGCTGAGTTTCAAAGAGTTTCCTAGTTGTGAGGCAAAGGCTTGACAGTATCGAGGCACAATCAACTCTCTTGCTTGCTACAACTCACCTACACAATGAGGTGTTCAAGCCCACCCACTCCAAATTATCCCTCCCCACCCCACCCAAAATCTAATATGCCTGTTTCTTGAGGTGTATGAACCGGTCAACAGTCATTCACTCATTGCAAAGCGGGCCAAGACTTTAAGTGCCACCCAAGGCCATAAAAACTGAACCGCCAGGAAGCCGCCAAGGGCCTGGAAGAGGCCAGCGCTTTGGATGTTATGTGAAAATCACGTGGGGGTGACAGATCTGACCATCCATCTACGTCGGATTTCCAAATGGCTTGACCGGGGTGCCTACTGATCAGCTACAATGTAAACCATGCTGATAAAACAAGCAACGTGGGAAGCTGGACTGCGCGATCCAAACATGACAAATACGATAGGTTCCCACAAGTTCAAGCAGCATCACACCCGAGCAAGGGCCAGCAAGTGTGCCGTACCGCACCCTCGTGTGTTTAGTCCCTGCTTGTCCCTGGCTGGCCATTTCGCAGGATAAATACAGCTCAACAACTTCCCTTTGGCTCACCACTCAAGGCAAAGTAGCCCGCAAAGGTTGGTGCTTCTTCCCCCTTGCCACAAGCAAAAAGCGAGGAGGCTTTCCTTAAGAAATTGGGCAGTGCAATTTCCTACGCGCTTAGCTGAAATTGCGGTTGCCAGAGTTCCTTGCCAGCAAATCAAGCTTCTGAAGTTACGTGAGATGCCAGCCTGAGTGGACAAAACCTTGATCAGATTCTTGTGCAACAGTTGCATACAGTGTTCGAGCTGCAATTGTTGGCAACCTGAGATCCCCACATATAGCACGCACAGGCACAAACATTGGCTTTGGCCTGTGCAAGAAGACAAGTCAAAGGACCAGTAACCAGATGACACCTCTGATTACAACGAAGATGTAAGTCACTGGGAACACAAACTTTACATTGCCGGGCATAGTTTTGCCAGTTGTTAATCGTTATCAAAGTCACGCTTGGGGCCCTTTTCCCACTTGCCACCCACTCGCGAACCATGGCCCATTGGTATCTGCCACCTGAGTTGTGCTCAAGTGTCATCCCTTCGGCGTTTCGCCTCAACAACAATAAATACAGAAAGGCAAGGGGAAGTTCTTGCCTTGCTTGGGAACCACAACTTTCAATATGGCCAAGTCCCCTGAGAACTAGCTTGCTCTGCCCTTGGGCCTTTGCTCACTCCCATGTTCCTCCCTTCGGCATGGGGCAAGTAGTTGCGTGTGTGTCTTTGTTTAGGGCACCCCAAGAAGACCATCAAACCACAAAAACTACCCTGTAAAGCCACAAACAAATGGGGGGGGGGGGAAGAAGCCAACATTTCCTATAAAACCACCAAGAAAGTTGGGGGCCAGCGGCTCCAAACAGAAACCGGGCACCGGATTTGGACCGTAGGAGGGCAAGACGGCCTTCACGGTGCTGCAGACTCGCTTCTCCAATCCCAAGCCCGCGGTCTCGGAGCAGCGTGCGAGAGAGGTCTGATCCGACGGGCGCAGCGGCGAAACCCAACGGAAGGAGTCCGATTGCCGCCGTAGTCATGAGATGCCGAAAGAAACGGCATGGTCGGCAAAGCCATGGTTTTCATTTCCCCCGGTGTGGTTGGACAACCACCATATTTTTTGTTTTTGTGTTTCTTCCCCGATTGCTGGTTGACAAAGCCATGGTTTCATTTCGAGGGTTGAGACGCCGATTTTGTCGATCAGGTACATTTAAATGCACGGAGCTTTCCAGTGATCACAAGGGGAGTCCATGTAACTGAATACTCACTCGATCTTCATGGGGGCTGACGAGACCCATGAAGGCATTTCCCCAGTTTAGTCGGGGAGGTGCAAGCCTTGCGCTTCACATAGCGCTCCACATAGCGACTGATTTGGCACCATGATATGGATCCATGGATACATGACCATGCTGTTAACAGCACGCCGCAGGGCAATAGGGCAGCCTTGTTTGTGGCGGGACCTTGATGCCTTGGTTTTGCGGTGTGAGAGTTTACGTCGGTCTTGTTGATGTGTGCGGTGGCATGTTCACAAAAGTCGGGGCCAGAGAGAACTGATCAATTCAAGGTATGGAGTGAAGGCTTGCCAGTTGCTAGTTCAATTGCATGTCAGGACACCGGGAAGTATTGGTTGGGTCTGATCAGCCGAACCTGGGCATTCTGAGTACTGAGTACCGGGCATTGTGAACCTGGGCATTGTGGCACTGATCGCGTCTTGAGTCTTGAGTATTGACCCATATTCATAGGCATGTATGCAACTTCTACGGCGTATCAGGATTCGGCCTTATCTGAGCTGTGTGAAGTATAGTAAGCTTGAAGCAAGGGCCCGTATTGAGCTATGCATGATGCTGACTCTTGTGATCAAGCGCCCCAAGTAAGTGGGAAGACCTGCTTGCGGAATGCTATATATCCAGGGCTTCAGCAGTATGTCCTCAGCTTTCAGAGGCACGTGCAAATGAATGAGTGCCACATCGACTATTGCAAGTCCCTGGCCATTTTGCGTTGCTCGCACCTTTGTTTGAGGGTGGGGTCATGATACTGGAACCCGAGATCAAACAAGAAGTCAGAAGGCCTCTCATCCAGCGGTCACTTGCGGTGGACCCAGGTTTGCGTGCCTTTTCTCGGCCCACATGCCCATTCGAGGCCAAAGAAGTTCTATTGAACTGCCAAAGCCGAGATCGGACAACTTTGGCGAGTTGGGGTTCAACTCTTGAAGGTCCTGGCGATTTCTTAAGCAGACACATCAGGGCCCCCGACCAACAGAAAGGTTGCTAGAACCCCAATAAACCTCGTAAGAAGGTGCTAAGAACCGTTTCTGTCGCCACTTTGGTTTCCTCCAGTGGTAATTGGGTCGCGTTCCTTTGGATTTTGGCTTCGCTTGAAACCAACCTCAAAAAGCGGAGAAGCTCCCCGACAACCACCCAAAAACCCGCCAAACCCATCCAAACGCCCTCAAGCAGCCCCGAAGTCCGCAAACAAACAAAAATACAGAACCCTGCCCAGGAAAATGTTACTTTTTTGGTTTAAGACAAAACATAGAAGGAGACGTTTTCCACCGGAAGGGACACCAACCGGGGATTTGAGGTTCTGGCAGGCGGGCCTGGAGCTGTTCCTGGCGCTCGAATTCGCCGGCGTCGCTCCCGCCGCCAAGTGGCGCGACGCCGCCCTGGAGGCCTCCGATGGATCGATCCAGCGGCGCGCGGAGGGGCCGACGGAGGGGTCGCCCGAGTCTTCCATGTGGCTGAAATGAATAGACGAACATATGCAAATATATACGTACATATATATATATAGATACGTATCATTTTCCCTTTTTTGCTGCACTTTGGTTGTTTTTCCCCAAACCAGTTGTTTGGCAAAGGAATCTTCCATTTGCGGAGAGAAGAGACAGAAACGGAAGAGACAGACGATACAGATAGAAAAGACAGAGTCAGAAGCGGCAAAAAAGACGTGTACGTCTATCAGAATTTGGATGTCCAAGGATCGGAGTTGATGCAAAGTCTCGCAGCAGACACCAGAAACATTGTGCCACAAGACGTTTGCGAGGTTCATGCACACATCAGAAATACTGGATTAGACCACCTGTCAATTGGTGCAGCATTGTGTCTGACATAATACATGGAAGTCAAACCCGGGTAGATGAAGGTTAGCAAGTAAGGGAGAGCCCCAACAATAAATAGGTTGCGAGTGTCCTCTCATTTTATTTACTTATGCATGGTTCCGGGTAGTTTTGTTCGTGCTATTATGCGTCATATGAACGGACAATAGTACCAGGGTTTTGGGTGTTTTTGCGTTTGGATCCCCAGGAGGTGGATGAGGAGGCGCGGGAAAGAGCCAAGCAACAGGCAGGGGGTCCTCTCAACTTTGGGGAGGACGTTCACGTGGGGCTGGGGGGTGGGAGGATTCGCGTAGAGCGGGGGGGAAGTGGGGGGGGGACAAGCCTGCCCCCAACCCCATTTCATGTTGAGCTCCTTTGAGCCACTGTGAATGGCCTTGTCATCAGCCACTGTAGATCAGGTTGTACATACAGTCCCTACATAAATGAGCTTGGTGAATGAAGTGCAGGAGGGCATGCCAACTAGCCCCGTTCCACCCCTGCTGGTAGTGCACCAGTACACTTGCGGTTCTGGAACAGGGGAGTTCACGGCAGTAGATTCCATCAACTAAGTTTT